ATAATAATAATTATTATTATTATTACTATTTTTATTATTATTGTTGTTATTATTATTGTTATTATTATATTGTTGTTTCTGCTGTTACTACTATGAACAACAAATGTACTATACTGTGGTTAGATCTCTTTCTAAACGTTTGAATATGGCCTTTCAGTTAAAAAATTACAAATACAATTTTTACAATATATAAACTTAATTAGCTTTTTCTCACATTAGTTGAACTTATTCTAAAAGCCACATATAAAAACAATTAGTATTTTCAATTATCAATAATATATTGCACATTTTAATATTTTATATTTATTCATCTATAATACAAGTTACTACATACAAAGAAAAAAGTATGAACCAGGAAACAGGAGTTATATACAGTATCTTGTAAATGATGAAGAGTGTTCTTTCCGAATGACACTGAACAACGGACAGGGAAGACTCAAACAAAAGAAACGGGAAGAAGAAAGAAAAGGAGAAACAGCACCATGTGCCACAGAAACAGAATTAAATGGGAAAAAAAGAAGTTGGTAGAATATTGAGAAAAAGGAGGAAAGACAATTGGGGAAAATGAAACTGCCACTGTCTGTACAACAAACCCAAGCATTTGTGTGCAGCATCGGAGCTGTGTGAAAGGGTAGTGAGCTAGGAAGTCCAAATGCGACTTAGAAATGAGTTTCTGTAACTGTGACAAAGTCCTTACGCAGCTCGGTAAGGTCGAAAATGGAGTGTGTTTCTGGGACCTACTGTAAACAGTACCAGCAACATGTGAGCTGTGTAACCGGAAATAACCCATTCATGACATTCTTCAATGCCATTTTTCAATTCCTTCTCTTCATACATTATCCCGCGAGTAATACCTTACAAAATACTTCTTCTTATGATGATGATGATGATGATGATTATTACAAACCATAACACAAAGCTGCCAACACAATGACACCTGACAGCAGGAATGGAGTGGACTGAGTGATGTGCTCTACTGGGTTTGCGACTGATGTAAAACTTTGCCTTGAGACCAGAAAGCTCCGATCTGGTCTCACCACAAATCCTTTTGGCCCATGTTTGCATGCAGGGTCAGTTAGGTTCTTTGTGGGAAACCCCATGAGGGATCTGACCGCCTGGGTGTCGCTTGTGAGTGCTCGACATACACCAAGCTCAATACTTGAAATGTTTTTATATCATTTTCCTGATCTGTGCCTTTATACAACTTTATCCCTAAGATGTTTTGAGAGCTCCTTGGTGTTCATGATTACATCTTTGCTTTGAATTCGACTCCCTGACTGTGGGACCTTACAGAGATACAGTAGGTATATTTAATCTGAAATCACATGAACCACTATTATTGCTCAGATAATGGCAGGCAGAACCTACTCATCTAATCGTGTGGCACCTTAAGTTCGTAAGTTTGCACAACAGCGTTTAATTGAGCTCTTTCGCCGCAAAGTGTTTGAATACTCCATGGCATTTCCATTTTTCTTTCATGTTGGTTATCTAATTTCTTCTTTGTTTTTGTTTTTTCTTTGAATTTGTGTTTATAAATACTTATTTATACTAATTAATAAAGAATCATTGCAAGCTGTCATGACTGCAAGCTTTAAAACAACAAAATGTGAGAACTGCAAGGGAAAGTAACCCTCTCTCAGTGCCCAGCACTGTTTCTCTTCTGCTAGCTTATAACTCAAGTACTGCACCATAAGCACCCCAGCTGCAGCTCAGGGAGAAGGACCGGCCTTTTCCTATGCTCTGACCGAGCTGATTACATGAGCAGCAGATGCATTCTCTGCCTACAAACCAAAGGGATAAGTGAGTTTTACTGTTCCAGGTCAAGAAGGTTCATTCCAACAAAGAGATGCATTAGCTCAGAAACCACAGATGTTAAAGCTACAATTAGATGTCCTTGTGCTAGGCTTGATTCTGGTGGGGCAGATTACAAAATAAAATCTCGAATCTGTGAGCATAAGACTCTGGCTAATTCCATTTCCTTTCTGGTAGTTTTCCTCTTGGAAACTGGGGCACAATGTAATGTGCTTATTCTATTTGGAAAGAGAACATGTTATTTCAATTGAAAGAGTTAGTGACCCAAATACTTTGAATAAGAACTCGGAGAACACAGTGAACGATGGCTTCTTTTATACAGAAATGGATGTTGTTCCAGTTTGATCCACTGTAACACTTCACTTTGGTATCTTGACACTGACAGAACTTTTCTAACAGCTATTTCATATTATTTCACATTTCTGTCACGATCGCGACCCCTCCTCATAAGGGCGCTCCAGCTCTTCCTCGTTTGCCTTATTCCCCACACCTGTCCCTCGGTCCAGCCTCCTTCCTGACCCCCTTTAGAAGCCAGACGCAGTCGCTAGATGAGGCTCTGCGTCTGATTCCCGCATCGTGTGAGTCCGGGACCTGGGTTCGTCTGGCTCCGTTATGCTTTTAACTCTCTGCTCCTGCTCCCGATCCTGTTCCCCCCGCCGGTCCCAACCCGGCACCTGTTTTTCATCTCTTGTTTTGGATGGATCACCCGGCCATGGACTTTTGCTCAGTTTTGGATTCTCCTTTGGACTTTTTCTAGGATTGTTTGCCTCGGCCACACCTCTCCCGACCGCCAGCACTCTGTGCACACGCCCCCCCCTCTTTATCCCCGTCTCCTGCATGACTTTTCCCCCGTGTTTTTTCACTATTCCGGATTGTGTCGTCCGCACAGGGTCCGAAAAGAACTGTTTCATGACAATTTCTTTTTAACTTACAGAAGAGGAAGATGTGCTCCTTTAACCCTATTTGTAATGTGTGTGTGTTTTTTTTTTGCTTTATATCACTTTATATCACAATCAGTATATCATCAGTATAATTCTGCAGATTTTATAGGTATTTTAAATCAATCTAGATCCTACAGACCTACTTATTAGACCTGGATAAAGTCAAATTGAGGCCAGAAAAGTAAGGGATTAGACAAATCCAGAAATTAAGAACTTTGTGTGTGGGGGGAAAAAAAGTATGGCAGTCCTTAAGGATTATATTTTGGACACTCAAATGGTAGGCAGTCATCAAAGATTAATAAAATGGAGAATTTTCAATCCTGCTTTAATCTTGGGCCTAGGGAAAAGTATTCTGCTTGTTAACCCAAATAAGTCCCCACTCACCTCTCTTCACAGATAACATATTATTAATTATCTGGATCCCTCCTCACTACACCATAGCCCGAAGGGTTTTTGTTAAGTATACAAGACTATAAATACATATGCCTTCTAACAATTTTATTATACAAAAATAAGTGCAGACTTACCACTTAATGAAACATACAAAATTCTGCTAGCAGTAGTGTAGCACCTGGATTTAAAAGCTTCACAGTAAAGATACTTCAACATTCTCTCTATACAGTATATCACACAGAAACTGTGACTACAGTAAATTATACTGTAAAAAATTGGAATAGGACAGGCCTTCTTCAAATTTTATATTCATTAGATTTATACAAGCTGACCTTGCTGACCTGCATGTGAAGAGCTTAACCAAACTATTAATAATGTCCGTCATCTTATTCAAACCTGAGTTGGAAAAATCGGTTCTCAGAGTGCTGGATATAAGTAATATTAATACAGCAATATCTATGGTTAAAAACA